AATTTTTATTTGAATTATTTTCTTTTTTGTATTTTTCACGTTTTATCTAAAGAACTTTAAAAGCCAAAGTAAATAGCAAAGTAAAATTAAGCTAAAAAAATGCACAATAGGAGCAAAGTAAAGTAAGAGTTTGAAAAAAGTAAACCATAGAAACAAAAAGCAAAGGCGATAAAAGGATAAAACAATAAAAATGATTTAAATAAAAAAAATAAATAAATAAAGCGAAGACCAAAGTTAGTAAAGCACAATATGAATATAAATATAGAACACGTATAAAAATAATGGTATGGTAGTCCAATTAATATCTAGTGACATGCTCCTGGGGATTATATATTTATTTTCTGGGAGGAAATTATAACAGAGGTTACCGATGATCATAATACGTGGATGGCCCTTCGGGCTATCCATGTACTATGATCATCGGTAATCTCCATTATAATTTCTACTCCCCCAGGAAATAAATAATACTAATTTGTATATTTTATAGTTCTTTATGATAATATCATTTGATAATGATTTATTATTAAAAAAATTATTTTGGATAACTCCTATTTAATTTTTTGCCTTTAAAATCCAAAACAGAAATAGAATATTTTGTACCTCTACTTATTTTTGAAAATAAATAATGAAACAAAACTTATCGAATTGGCAAATATTTAGTCAGTCAATTTTTGCCAAATTTTTTAAAATTTATGAAAATAGCTATAATAAACTCGTAAACCTGAATCAATTCGATTTTTTTTAAAAAAAACTGCTTTTATGGTTGTAATAAACTTGTAAATTCGAATTTACAGCTATTATTATAATTTCTGGAACACCTGTAAAAATTTGTTGAATGATTTTTTGACTGATCCAATTAAGTTATATATTTCAGAAATATATCAAATACATAATATAATAAGATCAGATGACTAATATATATTAAACTAAAACCAAATATTGATATGCATACTTTAAGTTGTAAAATTTCAATTTTATTCTTTGGCATGATTTATTTTTGCTTAAACAGGTTATTTTATATAAAGTACCTATTTCCTGATTTATCTGAGTATTGTTGTGCCCCTGTTTGCAGCGTAATCTATTTGTACTTTACAGTACCTTCAGAGACTGTAAAGTCTTTTAATATTCAAAGTACAGATAAATTTTTGCAGTACCAATCAGAATTTGACTCATACTTTGCATTAATCTAATCATTATCTCTAATCATTATCTTAAAGTACTTAAGAGTATTTACATAGTGAAATTAAAGTACTTTAGAGTATTTACATAGTGAAATTAAAGTACTTACATAGTGAAAGTTAAAAAATAACAAGTTGCCACTCTACAAATTAGTATTTGTGTAATATCAGAATAGAAAAGGCATAGTGAATTTGGCTAATAGTTTTATGTGATCCAGTTATTTTATAGTGCATAGAAACTATTTAATTATATATTCTACAACATGTTGAGACAAAGGGTTCAGATATTTACTATTAACACAAAATGAACTAAGTTTGTCTAAAACAATCAGTCAAATTAATATATTTATTTTAATAATAGTTTACTAAAGTTACTTGTAGTACATAAAATCTACAGTACAAATTTTTTATTCTTATTTAATAAAGCAATGTTGTAAAAATTAACTTAGCGAATATTATATAAGCAATTTAATAATATAAATATTAAAGCAGTTAAGTAAAGTTAAATATAAAAATTAAAAACAAGCAAATAATTCTAATATAGAAGCATAATAGAGCAACTAATTAAAAAAAAAAAAAATACTAAAAAATTAAGATCTTTTTTTATTTTTTTAATATTCACTCTTTTTAATTTCAATTTGGCTTCACGCTCTTCTGATTCAAGTTGTTTTTCTCAAATTGCTAAGTTTTTTTCTATTTCATTCAAATCTAATTCAGAATTTTTTTGTACTTTTTTTTTTTTTTAATAGCTGGCTTAGTTGTGTGTTGTCTTTTTTCTGCAGTGGGATATTTATGCTTTCTATTTTTTAAAAAATTAAATTAATAATTATAATCATAATTTATTTGAAGTATTAATATTTTAAATAATAATTACTGTTTCTCTTAACAGATTGAATTGCTTTTGATACTATGCCATTATCATGATTAGCATAGGGAACTTCAGAAATATTATATATCTCTTGTGAATGAAAAGTTCTACGATCTTCCAAATAACCTCTAAGTTAATATTATTTTATAGTATGTTATATTACTGTCAAAAATAAATATAACTATGCAGCAAATAATGCCAATAAACTTAGATTAAAGACAAAAAAACCAAGTGCTGACAAAAGAGTAAAAGAATGGGTTTGCTGGAAAGATGAATTAAATGCAATACTCAATTTAGGAAAAATTAAAGAAAAAAGAAAATGCCTATATAGAAGTTGAAAAATATAAAGAAACAATATTTTGCTATAAGAACAAAAGGCAGCAGTTGTTAGAAATTGATGAAAGAAGAAAAACTTACATGATTAAGCATAGAAAATTTAGAGACATTTTAAACATAGTTCAGAAAACAGAAAAAGGAACGAAGTTAATTTTCAAAAAAAGACACATTGAAGAGATAGTTGGTGAAAAGGAAAAAAAAGTGTTAATCAAAGCAAAAGAGTTGATAAAAATAAAGGAAAAGAGTAAAATAGTCATAGAGTGTAAATGTTGAGAAATGGTTTTAGTTAATAGAATAGTTTGTAATGGTATAATTAGATCTAGAACATAATAGAGATTTAAATAGTTTATTTTTTTATACAGATAGCTTACTTGGTACTGCTGAGGTTGAAGATAAGTTAGTAATGGGATGTGGAGTAATTCAAACTACAGAATCGGGTCAGCTTTTACGTCAAATATCTTGTGTAACAAAAAGGTGGTTCTCATCTACAAGAGCTGAAATTGTAGCAATATTACTCGTGCTACTAACAACACCTTGGGGAAGAAGAGTAGAGATACGAACAGATAGCAAAGCAGCAATATTGGCAATCAAAAAGGGCCTAGAGACAGACAAGATAAGATCTTGGTTGAAGACTAAGAATTGTGATCTGGTAACAACAATTATGAAGGTGATCAAGACAAAGAAGCTGAATACACACTTTATAAAGATCAAGGGTCACTCAGGTGATGTATTTAATGATCTTGCAGATTTGAAAGCAAAGGAAGGGTCCAAGTCAACAGAGTACCTAAACCCAGAAGTATTACATACGAAAGGCCACAAAATAAGATACATGTGGGAAGGTAAATTAGTTAAAAAAACCTATCTGTTCTTTTGTTAAAATGATAGGGAGAGTGCTATTGAAAGCAGAATGAGCTTTCTTGCATAATACGCATGATGAAACTTATCAAGAAAGAAAGAGTACTCAATCATGGTCCATGTTGCGCAACATAATGAGGGATGGAACCAGACAACAAAACCACACTTTCAAATCAAATGCATTACAGCTCTTCGAAACAAAGTGTATAAACAACATGCTCCCGGTATTTGAAAAACTCAATCGAAGAAGGCCTGAAATATACAAGACTGATAAATGTGTTATATGTAAAAAAAAGAAGGAAATGTAGAACACCTGGTGAGCTGTGAAACTTCTATGAACCTACTCCGCGATCTAGAGAAGCAAGTAGTAGAAGCAACCTTGTTTGAATTAAAAAAGGTAGAAAGTATAGAAACAACCAAAGAAGAAGTTTTAACAATGCTAGGAAAGAGATCCCAAGCTGAAGAATCACATAGAAGAGAATGATAGATCAGAGGCCTAATTACAAAAGAAGACTTCAATGAGCTGATACCTCTCTTCAACTCAAACAACCAAGCAAAGAACTTCCTAGGTAGACTCTGAAAGAACTGGATGAAAGAGGTTTACAAGAGAATATGAGTTGCAAGATGTAAATTAGTACAGGAATGGGAGAAGAAAAATGGAATCATGCCAAAAGATAAAAGAAGAACTTACGAAAAGACAAGAAGGAAAAAAAAGAAGAAGAAACTACCTGATAAACATATTAAAAAAAAGGAAAAAGATAAAGATATAGACGAGGATAAAAGGTGGAGTTTAGTTTTAGAGATAACTAAAAAGGAGGTTATAAGATGGATTGAAGAAGGGCAACGGGCAGATTGGTGGAAAACTAATATGTAGTCTTGACGGGTGGTAAGATCCAGCTAATGATGTATTATTGAAGCCAATTGCAGGATAAGATAATACAGATGCAAATCTTACTATAGCAGGTCGCACATAGATACTCAGTGAGAAACCGGGTGAGTCTCCACTTGTAATTTAGGTACTATAGAGTATAGCTCTGTAGAAAATTTTAATAGTTTAGATAATTATTACAAAGCCTAATAAAGTGAAGGCAAGACTGCCGAATTCATTAAAAAAAAAAAACTTACAAACAATTATAAATGTTCTCAATTAATAATATTTGTTTTTTTTGATTATCATTATGTGGTGTTTCCTGTTTTGGCTTAACAATTTTAAAAATTAATAAGTATATAATTATAAATAAATAATAAAAAATAATAATTACTTTATTATCTACAAGACTTTCAATATATTCTTTTATTGTACTTGATGGAAGAAAATTAATATTGTTAATTTTTGAAAGGTTTAACAACACATCATGTGTAAAACATTCAGTAATAAATTCATCAATTATATCCAAGTCAAGAATCATTGAAAGAAATGGATTATTAAATGCCATTGATTGGAGTCTTTCCATTGTTAGTTTTTCATAGAGCTTTTTAATAATATTTATGTTTTTATTTGCAACACTGATTATCCATGGATTTTTTTCATTTTTCTAAAAATTTAAAAATATTAAACTAATGTTTAATAAAAGGATTGTTATAAGTTAGGCACATACTATATAATTTTTATGAATAATATTAACTTTTGCTTTAATCTCATCAAACTCAGGTTGAGGACTTGTTCTTTTTATCTTTGTTACTTGACTAGGTGATGCTAATTTTTAATAATTAAAATGCCATTTAGATTATATTATTTTATCAATTAAAAAAAGTAATAAATTTTACCAGTGGGTTCTATATTTTGTTATTTTTCATTAGCTTCATTTTGATTTGAAAGCTCATTTGACTTAAAATTGTCTTGCTCATTTAGTTGAAATTTAATTAATTCATTCGCAGTTGATGCAGCTATAATACTTTTAACTAATTAAAAGAATTTATATTATATTAATGAAAATAACTAGAAATCACCATAGGTGATCATCACCTGTGATCTACAATATATAATTAATTTCTATCAAAACAAAAAAATTAAACCTCTTTAAGATTAGGGTAAGGGTGAAGGTTAGTAGTTAGAGGTTAGAGTAGAGTGTTTTTTATAGTAAAATTTAGCATGGAATTTTTTTTGTTAAAGCTTAAAAGGTAGTTTCATAGACAAAATTTTGAAATATGAGTATTTTTTTAAAAAATTCCTTGTTTTTGTTACACAAAATTGATTTACATATTACACCTGATCCTGAATTTTAATTGGCAAATTAACTACAGGTGATAATTACCTGTGGTGCAAATTAGCAATTTCCTATATTAATAATCAGCATGACAATAGAACATAAAAGCTTTTTTTTATTATCTTACACTTATTATCTTTTAGATGCCTTGAAACTTGAAAATAAAGCATATAAAAACCTTTTGCTCCTTTATTTCTAATAAACCTATCCCATAAAATTTGAATATCTGGTGACGGTTTTTCAATTTTAATCTATAGAAAGAAAAATTAATTTTAAAATAAAAAATTTAGATCATAATTTCTTTTTTAAAAACTATCCTTAAAAATTTAAAAACCAACTCACATCGACTTCTTTAGGCTTTTGATTTAAGAATTCTAACAGAGGTTTAACTACCATTACTTCAATCCACATTTTAATATAACTTTTATATTCAGACAAAATGGTAGCCAGTTTCATTGATTTATTTATAATTAATTCATGATTTTTTTCCAATATATATGCAAAAAAATGAATAAGGTGAAGATTATATAGCTTGTATTTTCTATAATAATCATTAGTAGATTTTTTAAATTTTAACATTTTTATACTTCAGTTTACAGAGAGTTAATTTGTATTTTGTATTTAGATAATGATATGTATTGATATTTACATATGATACATGATGTCATTATTTTACTAATTTGGCACATAATGCAATTACGGGTTATCTCCCATTGTTTGATTGGATGATTATATTGCTATTATTTAATACTAATGCTAATTAAAAAAATTATTTGATTCTACACAATAGTAAAAAAAAAATTAAAATAAAATTAGTTATTTATTGTCAAGATATCTTAGCTCAATGTTTATAACTTTATGATAAGACCAATTCTATTTTGTAGAGATGTAATTCTGCTAGACTAGTTAGTTCGTGCTCCGAAACCCGAATGAACGCTGTTCCGAAGCACATACAAAAACTGGGGTTTGAACTCTGTTTTAAAACCAGTTATGCACATGAATATTAATTATGTTTACCCAAACATGTTAGTTTAAACCTGTTACGCTTTTATTAAATACATAAATTTGTGCATTTGCATAATATATATTTATGTTATTACATATATTATATTAACATTCGCATATTGTATTCATACAGTAGTATGTAGTATTGCATTTAACATTCGCATATTGCATTTATACAGTTGTAATATTGCATTTATAATTTATCTACTTATGAACCTCCATGCAATTCATAATACCTGACAAACCATGTTTTCAGACAAAGACTTGCACAAATATTTTCTTCTGATAGCCGATTGCATATTGGATTGATTGTGTTTTTAGCTATTGAAAACATCTGCTCACTGCTCACACTTGTAGCCTGTACAATTAAGTGGTCTTGTGCCATTTGTGTGAGCCTGGCATAATGAACGTCAGATAATTGTTTTTTCCAGAAATCAAGCGGGTTGCAATTTTCTTTAGGAGCTATAAGATATTCTTCAAGAGGATTGTTTTTTGAAGTCTTATTATAATGCTTTTGAAAATAATTTCTTGGAAAATTATCTTCAATAATTGATGAGATACTAATTTCTTTTCTCATATATTGTGTGTAAATATTAAATAGCCGTTCACGTATAATTACTGCTGTCTTATTATCATATGATGACAATTTCATGCTGGGATCCAATACAACAGAGATACTACAACAACGTTGAAGAATATTTCAATAATTATCAAGTTTTTTATAAATTTGTCATGCAACCTAATTTCTTATTTGGATTTCACTTGGAAATATCATGTGTAAATCACCCATTGTTGGACGTGTTGATGAAGACAAAACTTTCGTTGCATTATCCATAGGTTCAAGTAGTATAGCAATTGCCTGAAATTAAAAAAAAATTAAATCGAAATAATATGAAAATAATAATTAATCTTAAATACTAACCTCAATTTCATTCTATTCATTCTCATTTAAGTATCGATCTATTAAAGCTGGATTATCTTCTACAAGAACTTCAACCATTTCACAAATTCGAAGCATTTTTTCAATCATAGTATATGTACTATTCTATCTGGTGGGTACATATAAATCAGGCACAAGAAAAGGTCTTTCATTCATTTGAAAAATCTTTTTAAGATCTTCAAATAATAGTTGAGATTTGCGTATATAGCTAGCAAAGTTTCGCAACTTTGTAATTGAATCAACTGCAACCTTCATACCCTCTGTGACAGCAAGATTTAATACATGAGCTGCACAGCAGACATGTTCAAAATATTGATTACTATATTTGTATCTAAGTTTATCTTGAAATGTTCACCTAAATACATCCATATTGGCTGCGTTGTCAGTGGTTGCAGAAATAATATGAGAGCCAATGTTGTAATTTGAAATTGATTCCAAGACTTTTTCAGTTATATAACTGCCAGTATGCCGTTCATGAAGTGGAATTATATCCAATAAGATCCGTTTCATGGTCCAGCTTTCATCAATCCAGTGAAGTGTAATGGCAAGAAAACCAAGGTTAGTACATGAGGTTCAAGCATCTGTTGTAATGCTAAACTTTTGTTGGCTTGTATTAAAAAAATTTTGAAGTTCATCTTGCTTATTATAGTACAACTTCAGAACATTTTGTGTAATCAATTTTCTTGAAGGAGGATAATATCGTGCTGTTAATTCAGCAATAAATAGTTGAAAATCTTTATTTTTAACTACAGAAAATGCTTGCTAATCTGTAATAATCCACTTGACAAGATATTAATTTATTCGTAATATTTTATCTATACTATAGGGTTTAAGGTTTGTTCTATTGATCATTTTCATTAATTTGTCCCATCTATCTGGATGATTATGTTTGAAATGTTTCTTTATTGTAGAAAGACCTCTGCCCATCGAATAAATAGTATTGCAGTGGTTGCAATGCAATTTATCATTGGTTTCAGTGAGCTCATCCCAGAAAGGGTCACATTTTAATTGTTTTGAAGATTGATTGGCAATCTCTGTAAGCTCCTCTAGTCCAAGTTCATTTTGAGATACCATTGAGTTCAACGTAGAGGTAATTTCAGTTAAATTAGTTTGTTCAAATGAGCTTTCTTCGTTCATTGCATAAAATTGAAATAATTGAAGAAAAAAAAAAAAAGCGAAAATGCTTATATATTTGAGAATAATCTTTGCACAATCAAAAAAAAATTTTTCTTTGTTTACTTTTAATTAAAACTGTCATCAATAAACTTTTAATTAAAAAGGACGTCATTTAATTAAAAAACGTCATATTTAATTAAAAAACGTCAAATAATCAAAAGATTTCATTTTATTTAATTGAAAATGTTTTTATTATTTATTTTACTTTATTTATAAAGTATTACATTTTTTTAAAAAATCATAGTTAATTTAGGAACGTCACATTATTAATCAAAAGTTAAAAATTACAGAATATGTACGTAAGATCGATTTTGAACTCGATTCGAGCACACTGAGTTTCATTTTACATAATTAAATTCACGTGATTAAAAAACTCGTGTTAAACTAGTTCGGGTTTCGAACAGTGGCGAACTGAGTTTAAGTGAGCAGAATCACATCCCTACTATTTTGACCCAGGTCAAAGTGACCCATTACATAACCATATACCTAAGAATTTTCAAAACTTTGAACGAAAATATCTCGATAACCATTTAATTACATTTAATAAGAATTTTTTTTATTTAAATCCTATTTATTCAAAGAATTTGAATAAAAAAATTTTTATCGAATTTTTGTTGAGATATCTTTGCTTAAATTAGAGAAAATTTGGTATAGCTTCTATTTTGTTAAACATTTGATTTTTCTATCACTTTGAGTGAAGATATCTCGATAACCGCATGACTTAATTCAATGAAAATTTTTTTAATTGAATTCTAGAAATTCAAAATTCAAATAAAAACTGTTTTATAGAATTTGGTTTGATGGTTGTCAAGTTTCTATTATGATAGGGGTTTGGATTTTTTTCTAAATTTGAGCGAAGATATCTTGGCAAACTCCTAACTAAATTTGATGAAATTTTTTTATTCAAATTCTATGAATCCATATAATTCAAAAAAAGTTTTATTGAAGTTGGTTTAATAGTTGTCGAGATATCTTCAATAAAAGTTAAAGAAAAATTTGGTACAACTTCTATTTTATAAGTGTTTTAATTTTTCTTTAACTTTGAGCGAAGATTTCTTAATAACTATCTGACTAAATTTGGTGATAATTTTTTTATTCAAATTATATTAATCCATAGAATTCAAATAAAAAAAGATTTATTGTATTTTGTTTGATGTTTGTTAAGATATCTTCGCTCAAAGTTTCGAAAATTCTTGGCATATGGTCACATGATGGGTTACTTTAACCCAGGTTGGCCTTAATATTAAGATAAATGTTTAAATTTTTTTAAGATATCTTGATGATCGTTTACTAAACTATTTATATATAAGCGAATTATCTAAATTATTTGAACAAATTGTTTCTGAAAATATTTAACCTACTACTACTTTTAATTGTTATTAAAAAATCAGTAGAGGTGTGCAACTTTATTAAAACATATAATGTTTGTGTTGTTATCGTAATGGAATTGGTGTTGAAAAATATAAACATAAGGCATTCATTTATTACTATAAGCAGGTAGAAATGGACGATACAGTTGGAACACATGATATTGGATGTTGTTATCGGAATGAAGAATATGAAATGAGGCTTTTATTTATTACTACAAATCAGCAGAGAAGGATGATACTATCGAAACTTATGATGTTGAATGCTGTTGAAAAAGATGAGCATAAGGTTTTCAATTATTATCAAAAGTTAGCAAAGATGGGTGATGCTGTGGAATATATAATGCTAGATGAAAAGGATTAACATAAAGCTTTCATATTATCAAAAATTAGCAGAGATTGATATTGATATTGGAACATATAATATTGGATGTTATCGGAATGTAATTGGTACCGATAATGAATATAAAAGGCTTTCATTTATTTTTAGCAAAATACTCTGGATTGGATATTATTAAAATTTGCAGAGATGGGTAACCTGATGGAACGTTAGATCCTGGCAGCTGCAATCAAAATGGAATTAGGGTTGAAAAAGATAGACATAAAGAATTAATCTATTGTTGGATGTTGAAAAGGATGAATATAAGTATTTGATATTATTAGAAATCAGCAAAGATGAGGCGCTGATAGAATGTTGCATCCTGGTAGCTGCTATCAAAGTGAAATTGGGGTTTAAAGAAAGAACATAAGACATTCTTTCATTACCAAAAATTAGCAGAGTTCCACTTTAAAAATTTCACCAGCAATCAAATTTCAATGTCAGATGAATATAAAAGCTACAAAAAATAAAACCAATATAAAAATCTCTCATAACTCAAAAGTTTAGTTGATGAAAACTGCTTTCTGTGCACCAATAAATTTTGGTACAATAACCCTAACATAATAGCAAAATAATGACAGGCAGAATT